GACAGTCATCACGTGTCTCTAACCAGTCTGGATGAAGACATCATGTCCCGCTCTTACCTGTCTACATGAAGACAGTCATCAATTCTCTCTAAGCTGTCCACATGAAGACAGTTGTGTGTCTCTAATCAGTCTGGGTGAAGACATCATGTCTTGATGTCCTGACTGCTCGCTGACCTGTCCACATGAAGACAGTCGTGTGTCTCTGACCTGTCTGGATGGACAGTTGTGTCTCAGGGTTCTGCATGATGGACAAGTCCACAGTTGCGGACTTGTTGACCTAAAGTCAGTATTTCTCCTCCTCCAGGTAAAACGAAGTTCCTCGTGCAGCTGAAGGACCAGACCCACCTGCAGACAGGTGAACCGACCTGTTCCGTCCTGAAACTCACCGAGGACCATCGCGTGCAGCTCACCTGACTCCGGCCCGGATGCAAAAACAACCAGACGGATTTGGTTCCGCAGCTTCCTCGGGTTCCGGTCCTGAAACTGGAGGGTTCTAACAGAACCCAGGTCTGGATCTCCGAGAGGTTCCTCTCTCACACTTGAACCTCCCTCTCTCCCTCAGCTGTGTGCGCGTGGCTGGCTGCATGCGCGCGTGAGCGAAGACAGGCCGGTTCGACCAATCAGCAGCCGGGTGACCTGAGGAGCAGGGCTCGGTTCGTCCAGAGAACACAGAACCAGAGAAGGAACTTTTCCAACCCAGCCCCGAGTCCGGTGCTGGACGAGCAGCTGATCGAGTCTGAAAACAAAAAACAAAAAGAAAGTCAGTTCAGGACTTGCGACCTGTCCATCTGTCCCGCTTCAGTGACTCTGGACATGTGCACCAGACCGAAAAGGAAGATGCGGGAAAAGATCATGGATGGTTGGATGGAAAGTTAATTAATTTATAATGACAAGTTTATGCTCAATAATCCAGATATACAATGCAACAATTTTCAGTCAGGTCATCTGGACTCTTTTACTTTTTGTGCTGAAACCTTTCACCTTCCATCCAGAAGGCTTCATCAGTAAACTATATATATATATAATTATAAATTAATTAATTTATGTTTGTTATTATTAAATGAATAACCTGTAAATGTGGATGGATGAATGGTCGAATGATGGATGGATGGCTGGATGGTGTAATGCTGGTTGAATGATGGATGGATGGATGGTGTAATATGGATGGATGGATGATTGATGGGTGATTATTTTTTCTTCTTTCAGCTGCTCCCTTCTTCAACGAACTAACTCACATGAAGACTTGATGATTGTTTTTACGCCGGATGCCCTTCCTGATACAACCACAGACCACCGAGCTACCACATCCCTCTGCGAGGAGCAGAGAGCTGCCATCTAGGGCACCCGTGGGAGCAGTTGATGGGGGTAAAGGGCCTTGCTCAAGGGCCCAGGGTGGAGCAAATGAAGGTGGAGACAGGTGTGGGTGTTTCACCTTTTCCATCCACATTTTGATGTTGTCAGTACTGGGAGTTGAACTGGTGACCTTCCAATCATAGGCTCACCTTCTCTAACCTCTGCACTACCACTCCTCCATGAATTGTTGAATGATGGTTGGATGGATGAATGATAATTGATGGATGGATGGATGGATGGATGGATGGATGGATGAATGGATAAGAAGATATAACTTTATTGATCCCACAGGAAATTGTTGGATGGATGATTGGATGATAATTGGATGACAGTTGGATGGTAAAATGATGTTTGGATGATGGACAGATGAATGGATGGATGATGGTTGGATGGTGATTGGGTGATGGTTGGATGTTAATGTTAATTTTATTTATATAACACATTTAAAACTAACAATGTTGACAAAAGTGTTTCACAAACAGGATGATGGATGGATGATGATTAGATGGCTGGAAAAAAAGGTTGAATGCTTTGATAATGGTTGGATGAGTGCATGATGGTTAGATTATGTTTAATTGGTTGGATGATGCTTGGCTGGATGGTTGAATGATGATTGGATGATGGATATATGGAGGATGGTGTGATGGGTGTATGATGGATGACAGTTGGATGGTTGGGTAATTGTTAGATGTTGGATGATGGTTAATTGGTTGGATGATGGATGGGTGGATGGATGGATGATGATGTTTGGATGATGGACAGATGAATGGATGGATGATGGTTGGATGATGATTGGGTGATGGTTGGATGTCAATATCAATTTTATTTATATAACACATTTAAAACAACAATGTTGACCAAAGTGCTTCACAAACAGAATGATGGATGGATGATGAATGGATGATGGTTGGATAATTGTTGGATGATGGTTAATTCATTGGATAATTGATTGGATAATTGTTGGACAATGGTTAAATGATGTTTGGATGATGTTTGGATGATGGCTGGATGTTGGTTGGATGATGGTTGGATGATGGTTGGATGATGGTTAATTCATTGGATGATGGATGGATGGACAATGGTTAAATGATGTTTGGATGATGGCTGGATGATGGTTGGATGATGGCTGGATGATGGTTGGATGATGGCTGGATGTTGGTTGGATGATGGTTGGATGATGGCTGGATGATGGCTGGATGTTGGTTGGATGATGGTTGGATGATGGCTGGATGATGGCTGGATGATGGTTGGATGATGGCTGGATGATGGCTGGATGATGGTTGGATGATGGCTGGATGATGGCTGGATGATGGCTGGATGATGGTTGGATGATGGTTGGATGATGGCTGGATGATGGCTGGATGATGGCTGGATGATGGTTGGATGATGGTTGGATGGTAAATGAATCAGTGATCAGTTCAGTTTATTTATGCAGCATCACGTTACAACAGGAGTCGTCTCAGGCTCTGAACAGAAACATTCATTTAAATAAAAAGTAAGATAAGACAGAACTTTATTGATCAGTTAATAACGTTATTGATCAGAGGAGCTCTTCAGTAGAACAATAGAGCAGTGCGTTTGTTCTGACCCAGTCCAACCTGGTTCTGTAGAAGAGAACCGACGTTTACTCAAAGAGCACAAACATTCAGAGATATTTAAACCACCGACACAGAAAAACGTCAGTAAATAAATTATAAAGCACAAAACAGAGGTTTGAACGGTCCAGCAGGACTGACCGCTGAACCACAGTTCTGTCTGATGGTTCTCAGTGAGTCTCCGGGTTCTCACAGGTTCTTACAGGTTCTGTAGTTCTGGTTCTGTTTGCTTCAAGTTCTGAATAAATGTGCTCCGACGTGGGAAACTTTTCCTTTTATCTGTTTGAAACGTTCGGATGTTTTTCCTCCGATTCTGTTGAATTCATTTCTCCTTTTATCTGAAAAAAGAAGATTAGAAGTTTTTTTTAGTGTAAAACATCATGAAACACACACACACACACGCACGCACGCACGCACATACACACACATACACACACACGCACGCACACACACACACACACACACACACACACACACACACCCTCTGCTGAGTTAACCTGTAATCTGACAGCAGGCCAGTTAATCTGCAGTAACAATTAGCAACCTGACATGAGACTCATTAACCACTGAGGAGGAGGAGGAGGATGATGATGAGGAGGAGGAGGATGATGAGGAGGAGGAGGAGGATGAGGAGGAGAAGAATTGTCTAATGAAGGAAAAGAAAAAAAATATAAAATATCTGAATAAAAAGGATCCAAGGCACAAAAGGAAAACAGGAAATAAAAATAAAACTACAGGAAGTATAAATAAAACTACAGGAAGTATAAATAAAACTACAGGAAGTATAAATAACACTACAGGAAGTAATGAAAAGAAAGACACACTTTTGATTGGCTCCGTTTGTTCTGCTGGTTCTGCTGGTTCCATTGGCTCAATTCGTTGGTTCTGGTTGGTTCTGCTTATTTTGGTTGGTTTTGGTCTTTGTTTTTTTGGGAGTTTTTTTTTTTCCCACTGGTTCCATTGGTTCTGCTGGTTCTGGGTTCTGGCCCGTGGCAGCGGACAGTTCTTGTCCTCCAGCTGGGACCACCTCAACCCAGTGGTTGTGGAGAGTGGGTGGAGCTACAGCTGGTCACAGAAGCAGGAAGAGGTCATGTGACTGTGAGGTTCAGCTGCCGTCACTGAGGAGAAGAAGAAGGAAGCATCAGAACCTAGACTTGACCCGGTTAAACCGGACTCAGAGTTCTGGTTTAGTTCACAGACGTTAGAGTTTGTGACTGGTGCAGGGGTCAAAGGTCATCTGCTGTGGTTCATCATCATTCAGATTAGTAACCATGGCGTGTGTCGGTCAGCAGGTCTGGTTCTGACGGTTCCACGCTGGGTTCTCATCTGGATCCAACTGATCCAAACGCCCTCCTCCAATTAAAGATGGCGCCCGTAGTTCACCTGCCCGCAGGCAGTGGGTCCGAGGATTACTGAGCCAGCTGGGCTCTTCTGGTTCTGACAGAATTAAAACCTGATTTTGTTGACGGGCCTTTGAGCCAAGAACCAAAACTGTGATGTCCTGCGGCCCTTCAATGCATCGCGGCTCATGTGGTGCTTTAAAAAACTGGCAAACTGTTCTCTGTCCTGAAGGAGGTCCAGAAGTGAGGAACCAGCAGGTTCCACTGTCAGAACTTTAAACTCAAATTAACTTCATTTATTACATTTTATATTAAATTACTTTATTAAAATCAAACTTTTAAAAGCTGAACGAACGTCAGCTGCTGCTGTTCTTGTTGCTGTTAGCTTTGATATTCCTCCATTTTGTTTCCTTCAGATCCACCTGTGAGCGACCCAGGAGTCCGGTGATCTCAGCATAAATCCACCTGTTCTAACAGAACCATCAGAACCAACACCTGTATGTAGTTAGAGACATCATGAAGACCAAGGATCTCTCCACACAGGTCAAAGACAAAGCTGTGGAGAAGAACAGATCAGTTTAAATAAAATCTCCAGGACCCTGAACGCCCCACAGAGCTCCATTAGGTCCATTACTAAGAACAGAAAGATGATGTCATCACAGCAGACCTGCCATGTCATCGACCACCAAAACTCACAGAGAGGGTAAGGAGGACATTAATCAGAGAGACATCCAGGAGGACAAAAATGTCCCTGATGGAGCTGGGAGATGGAGGATCTGTCCACAGGACCTCTAGAAGCTGCTCAGAGCTGGACTTCATGGAAGAGTGGACATGAAGGAGACATCAAACAGAAGAAGCTGTGGACAGAGGAGACCAAACATCAAGGACAACACCACGACTGAGACAAACTTACCACCTCATCAGGCAGAGGAGACATCTCTGCAGTGAAGCATGGTGGTGGCAGAATCGTGCTGTGGGGAAACTGGTGAGAGTTGAATGATGGATGGAGCAGATCGCAGTGAAGATCTTCCAGAGTTCTGGTTCTGAGGTCCAAACAGCCTGAATCGTGTTTGAAGGCAACAGAACAGAAGTGCAGTGCCTGGGTCAGCAGATTAAACAAACTGCCGCAGTGTGGAGCTAATTACGCCTCAGTGGGGGGGCCTGCAGGGGCCCAGGGCTACAGGTGGACTACCTGGTGGTCTAACTCAGGTTCAGGGGGGACAGATGTTAAATCCTGCTCCTCCCTGCTGGGATCCTAATGATGGAGGGCCGGGCCGAGGGATTTGTTGGACAACAGCGGCGGCTGCCTGACTGCCGGCTCACCGCTGGACGTCCCCCCACCGCTCGTACGAGCCGGAGTACTCAAGGTTAAAAAAAAAAACCCAGTCCAACAGAACCAGGCTCTGAAGACCAGAACAAAACCAGAAACCAAAACCACAATCACCAATCAAACCAGCAGAACCCCCAAACAGGAACCACAGACTTTCAGACAACCGGAGACAGACCAAAGTCTAACCCACCAAAAACCACAAGTCAGCAGATCAGGGTCTGGTTCTGTTAAAGACCCTCAAGAGTTCTGAGTGACGATCAAACAGGAAGTTCTTTTTATCGGCTGTGTGTGTGTGTGTGTGTGTGTGTGTGTGTGTGTGTGTAGGTGTGTGTGTGTGTGTGTGTGTGTAGGTGTGTGTGTGTAGGTGTGTGTGTGTGTCTCCCGTAGAGAAGAACTAAAAACGACGCCTGACTTCTGCACAGGAGGCCCCTCACACATTAACTACCCCTCACAATACAAACATCTTCTCCCCTACTGCCCCCCCCCACACACACACACACACAGGTGGGGCACACACACCGCTGGCCGTCGGCCTCGTGCTGCTAAGCTTCTTTCACGCCCACAATGGCGACTGGTGGCAAGCTCAGGGCCAATTAAAGCCCTGGGAGTGGGGGCGGGGGTCACCTCTAGCCTTCTGGGCCCGCTCTGCCGGGTTCTGATCCAAGACTGAGGCGGGTCAAGCAGCTGCTCCACTGCTGCAGGGTCTCTTGGTTTATCTCTCTGAAGGGCAGATCATCATCAGCTCATCGATCATCATCACCATCAGAGGATTGGTCCAGATTTCTTCTTCTTCAGTCCTCCCAGTGTGTCTCTCTGCTGGAGGAGGTCAGAGGTCAAACACCCAAACTCCAATTGTAGCTGAGCTTTCAAACAGGAAGTGAAGCCTCTTTCTTACTCGTCTCATCTCCTCCATAGAACCCAGTAGAACCATCAAACAGAACCTTCTGCTGTTCATGTGTCAGAAAGTTCTTTGACCTGACTTCTAGTTTTCATACAGACTGTTTGTCTGAGGCTTACTTTTTACTCTGTGTTTCTGTCTCTCCTCTTTCTGCTCCAGATGAAAGGTGGTGGGGTCAGCAGATCTTACAGGTTCTTCTTTGTCCCATCATGGCCTCCCCACAGGTCCATTTGTCCTGATTAGGCCTTTAAAGTTCTGCCAAAATGAATAAAAATCTGCAGGATTTGACGTCCAAAAATCTTAGAGGGCAAACAGGAAGTGGTTTGAATGTGGACTTTCAAAATAAAGCTTGAAAACCAGAGTCTGGCTGTGTCACAGCAGAGATTATTTCACAGATTCTGTTGGACTTTCAGGAGCTTTGGTTTCTTCGAGTTTTATTCTATTTGAATTTCCTGTTTCCAGCTTCCTGTTCTGATCTGTGACGTCGTCCTCGGTCCACCTGGATGTTTCTCTTGTTCAGCCTGAACATTCTGGGTCACCAGGACCGGCACCACATTCCAGCTGGCAGCTTAACTGGTTCCTATCCAGCAGCAGCTCGTTAGCCAATCACAGATGGCTTGTTGAGCACGGAGCTGGAGTCTGGCTCCGAGAAACAGTTTATCCTTTTACAATATTTTCATTTTCTGAATTAAAAGACATTAGAGGGATTTTAATCTGTGATAATCTGAAGCTAAAAAACAGTTGTTTTGGGTTAAAAGTCAGAGATGTTTGAGTAAAACAGAAAAACCTCTGAACGAGTGCCAGTAAAGATTTCATATGTTGAGTCCTGATGAGGTGACCCATCTCAGGCTTGTGGTTCTGACTCTGCCCCGTCCCTCTCCGACCCGTTCTGCTGAAGTAATGAGATCAGGTAGAACCTCAGTGGGGGCTAATGACATGTTACAAACAGCAGAGAGGAGTCAGTTTACCTGCAGCGTGCCTCCGTCTCATCCTTCAACACACCTGATGACATCACCACAGGCCCGCCCTCTGATTGGTCGGTGCGAGATCAGTGGACACTGAGGAAGTGTGGCCTCCATTGAAGCGTGGTGAGAGTTTGGACAAAGAGTTCTTCCTGCTCAGTGAGGCGTGAAAATAGAATGAATGTCTGTTTTAATCCCACCTGGGAGGTGAAAACCAGGCTGTACAGGTGCTGGTCATAAATTTTGGATATCATGAAGAAGTTGATTTATTTCAGTAATTCCGTTCAAAAAGTGAAACTTGTATATTATATTCATTCATTACACACAGACTGATGTATTTAAAATGTTTATTAATGTTGATGATTATAACTGACAACTAATGAAAACCCAAAATTCAGTATCTCAGAAAATTAGAATATTGTGAAAAGGTTCAATATTGAAGACACCTGGTGCCACACTCTAATCAGCTAATTAACTCAAAACACTTGCAAAGGCCTTTAAATGGTCTCTCAGTCTAGTTCTGTAGCTACACAGTCACGGGGAAGACTGCTGACTCGACAGTTATCCAAAATACGACCATTGACACCTTGTACAAGATTCATAAAGAGTGGACTGCTGCTGGAGTCAATGCTTCAAGAACCACCACGCACAGACGTATGCAAGACATGGGTTTCATCTGTCGCATTCCTTGTGTCAACTACTCTTGAACAAGAGACAGCGTCAGAAGTGTCTTGTAGTGATGGTAGTATGAAACAAAAGCTTCAAAACATGCTTCGAACCCTGCAGTAAAATTACATCAGAGCACTGCTTCGGAGCGGAAAAAGTCACGTGACACGTGACGTCCGAAACACAAACTGTTTGGTTGTCGTAATGAATCACTTGACTGGTTCGCGGTCCAAACAGCTGATTCCCTGACACCGCCTCGTCTCGATTCTGACAGGTGACAGGTTGAGACAGTTTTGAACTGAGAGAGCTCAACGCTATGAAACAGCTCTAAAATGTTTGTGTTGGAGAGTAGGTGTGTTTTTGCTGTTAGTTAAAATTGAGTAATTATAGAGGCAGCCAGGAAAAGAGGTCGTTCTAACATGTGGGAACACTTCATTCTGCTCATGATAAGGTGGTTTTGGCATTTAAACGTCAAACATGTAATGTGCAACAGTGAAGATATTATCTAACCCATTTAACCCATGTATTTAATACAATTACAGTAAAATGATGTATGTGATTTTAATAATCATATATCGTATGGGCTCAAATTATTTTTTTTATTTACATTAGTGTATTTCTGCAGGTGCATTGTTGGTGTGTTCAACTTTTTTTCTTTTTTTAAATTATTTTATTACAAAACTTTATCAATTTTACAAAGTGTCTGCCAGGGGTCTATTAGCAGGTACAAAAGTATAGAAAGAACAATTTGGTTATAAAACGGTACAAAGGGTAAAAAATTCTAAAGATACAAAACAATCTATTTACATGTTATACAGATAGATTCACATTAAGTTTTTCTAGAACTGAGTTGGTTTTCATTGCCTTTTTGTTTTCCAGTCCTTTAACAGCGGTGCTGTAAATGTAAAGTTCTGCTGAAGTGGGTCATGTTTGGACTTTGACCACTTTTTCTTGTGAATGTGGAATTTTCCCAGGAGAAGTAGAAGTTGGGTGAAGTAGATCAAGTCTTTGTCCATATCCTTATTGTCGAAGCATAATATTATGTCTTTCTCTGTAAGTTGAATTATTTGTCCAGTTTTCTTGTTCCCTCCGCTGC